GAGAAGAAAAAGAAGAAGAAGAAGAAGAAGAAGAACCGAAGGAGGAGGAGGAGGAGGAGGAGGAGGAGGAGGAGGAGAAGAAGAAGAAGAAGAAGAAGAAGGAGCCGAAGAAGAAGTTAAAGCAGCGAAGGGGGAGAAGAAGAAGAAGACGGCGGGTGGAGGATGGCGGGAAGGGGGGCTCAAAACGGGGCCAAAGAAGAAGAAGAAGAAGAAGCGAAGTAGAAGAAGTGAAATAGGAGGAGGAGGAAAGGAGGACGAAGAAGAAGAAGAAGAAGAAGAAGAAGAAGAGGAGGAGGAGAAGAGGAAGAAGAAGATCTCTCTCTCTCTCTCTCTCCTACTAACCCACTTGCCTTGGCGCGGCAGCGCGATGGCGGGCGTCGGGGGGCGACGACGGCGTTGGCGGGCGATGGCGGAGCTCCGTTGAAGGGACCCGTCGGGGGCGAAGTGACGCGTCGGGCGGGAAAGGCCACGGGGGAGGATGAGGGCCGATGATTCCCGCTTTGAACAATTCAAAATCGCGGCCCATCTGGGCCGTCGATCCTGGAGATCGACGGCGCAGATGGGCCCCGATTGCAAATTGTTGAAATCGGGCCTACCGGCCCCTTTTTTTGTGGTTTGTTGGCCTCGACGGCCTCCTTTGGGGGGAAGAAGGCCCCCCGCGTCGAAAACGGCCTGAAACCCCCCTCCTTCTGGGATGCGCTGGGGTCGCCCGGTGGCCAACCGGGCGGAACAACCGGCCAGGCGGCTTGGCGCCCCCCCCCCCCCGGGCGACGACCAGGTCGCCGGGCGGCCTGGGTTCAGCCTAGTTGTCCTGGGAATTCTGGCAGGCCTGCTGGCAAATTGGCCCAATTCTCAAGGAAGAGTACTTCGGCTTTTTTAACAAAGTGAAATGAGGAAGGATTAGGCAAATGCATTCATATGTTATGTACCCGATTGAAACGCAATCCACAATGATCTCACATGTTCCCATACACACATGCAGATGCAGGGCAGACTCAACACACAAACCTGAGGGAGATATGCAGCGAAAGCTCATCACACAAAGAAGAATTCTGATTATATCCACGCCCTTCCCCAATCATTCCAGACTACTTCATTCCAAGAATCACAACTGCTCTGTCAACAATCCCAAACAAGCAATATCAAATGTTTAATGAAGTATCATGGGGGCTACTTCTTCCTCCTCGCCACCTCATCACCCTGGCTATGGCTGCCGTAGCATCAGAACCCCCAAACTGTCACCCCAGAGCCAATCTGAAGCAGCACCCACAGATGCGGTGCTGAGAATCCTGATGAAGTGATGGCAGCGCCCAACTGTGAGGACTGGCCCTCACATGGCCACTTGACCATGGCCCTTCTAGGCCCAAAGGCCCCAAGCCAGTTACGTGCTTGCCCTAAGTGAAGGTAGGCCAGATTTCAAGCAAGGGCCCCTACGCTTGCCATTTCTGCATGTGGGTGCCAGACAGTTTCCACGCGCCAGTTGGTTACAGAATAGCGCCGGTGTGAGCACCACATGCGGAGCCTCTGGCTCACTCCAGCAGCGAGGTGGCCAGAGCCTCTCGGCCAATGAGAACACACAGAGTGACGTGGCTGGGCCTTCGTAGGACAATGAGGAGGCAGTGTGCAGCATCAGCCATGTCAGCCAACTGTCTGAATGGGCCTGGGTGCAGACACTTTGGCCCGATGTGAACCTACTGGGCCCATGCACGCCAGGCCCAGCCCAGCGAGAGCCAGGGCTCACTTTCCATATAGGACAGTTAGCACCCAGGGGAGGATCATGCTGGCCTGTGCGGGCATTGAGGACGCGCTGCTGCATTCTCACGCGAGCATGCTGCGCATGCACTGGTCAGCAAGCGCACGCGGGCTTATGAGGTGAGGGTGTTGCTGTGGCAGCGGCCGCACGGCGGCCATAGTGCAATGAACCAATTATATCATCACTCCGAGCATAAGCACCACGAGAGTTCATACAAAACCCACACCGAAGTCCATGGAACGTCAGGCAGGATTAGTGCAGCTCATAATCTTGTGAGCTAATCCATGGAACGTCAGGCAGGATAAGCGCCACAGCCTCGATGAGCCCCTTTCAGGCCCTGTCAAGCAGCACGTCGGCCGCCCTAAGTGAAGGCAGGCTCGACGAGGACCTAAAGGCCCTTATTTCAGCCACCACGCAACTAAGGAAATTCAGGCAGTTGCGAAGCGCCAGTTGGTTGAAAGAACCCAGGCCCTGGGCCGCCTGTTTGCATGTATCGAAGGCAGGCCGTGGGCTGGATACGGGATGTGGGCCAAACACAGGCCGAAGGCAGTTGGGCACAAGCAACCACCTCAGGCCCTGGGCCGATTTGTTTTGGACTGGGCCTCAGCCTACCGGGGCCTACCGGAAGCTTCTTGGGAAAGGCCCAGCGCAGCCTGGGACGGGACGTAGGCAGGCCACTTCCATATAGCAAAGGGCCTGCCTCCGTATTGGACATTCGGGTGCTGGCTGCATGATGCGCAAGCGCTGCTGCGTTGAAGCTGGCCAGCGCTCACAGGCGAGCTGGAAGGAGCAGGCAGCCATAGACGAGCTGCGCTGCTGTGAGCTGGGTGTGGCGCAGGGTGGTCCTTGGGTGCATGTGGCATCTGTGTGTTGGGGAACGAGGTTGTGAGTGATGCGAGAGACATACCTGGTGCTGGAAGCGTGCGGCATTGGCCGCTATCTGCTCGTACTTCGGAAGAGCTGTTGTCGTCATCTTTGGTATTGTAGTCTAGGCTAGATAGGATCTGCCATCTGTAGTCTGGGTGCCGAGCGCCAGATAGGATATCAACATTGGTTCTTCGTTGATGATGATGAGACTATTCCAGCATTGTCAATTATGAGCTTTTGGTGTGCTCTTATTTGGTGTAACTCGTGATGCAATTCTGCTCTTGGTTCGAGGTCACGACTATCTGGTCTTATGTGTATGATGCTGTTTGATTGCTGAAGTTCGCTATTGCTCATCATCCTTGCAATTTGGTATCGGAGCTGTGGTACATTGTGCTCATCTGGCACTTGTCTTCTGCCTATGCGGTACATACATGCGGTCTGCTTGGTGAGTGAGGCTGTAGGTGGTGTGTAGTGAGGAGGGCGGAGACAAGGTGTGGCGACCCAGGAGGAGAGGCGAATCACCAGGAAGGCTATGGTGTGTATATGGGGTGTTCGTAGTGTGATGAGAACTGTCTGATGGTTGTGCGGATGCAGTGACTGGTCATCGCAATCGCCATCAGGTCATATGGTGAGAATATCTATGGCTGGGGGCAGCTATATCGAGGTACGTTGCTCTTAACCTTATCTACCTTCATCACTTCTTACCGTGAGGTTGTGAGTTCCTTCTTGAGAGTCCTCTCATGTGAGGTGTCGTGTGCGCTCAACCTTGAGAGTCCGCATTGTTCACGTGGAGCATCTGGAAGGAGAGGGCGGTGCTTTCTGAAGGGCCTTGGACGGAGCACTGGGTCACGGTCACCATGCCAACCCACCGGGAGCAGAGCACACATGCTTTGCTGCTTTGTCCTTGTCTGCTTGCTGCGCTCATAGAAGGGGTACTGAAGGGTCGGCGAGCCCTACGGGAGAGACGAGAACTTGGCATCTATAAATAAACACCGGCTGGGGAAAACCATTGGCTGTGATCGTCATCCTGCTGCGACGTAAAATAATTCCTGATGACACTTGGGGGCGGTCGTTAAATTGCCTCTGGATCAGCCAATCGGTGTAAGGCTCGCTGCACGCGAACACAGTGCAGGGCTGGCCAGCTCAGCAGCTACTCGGGACATAGGGGTGGGCCGTGTGCACACCTTTAGTCACGCACGCCAAACCGGATTGCTCAGGGATGTGACAATCAAGGGGAATTGGGGAAGGGGTAGATTCCAGGTGATAAGTTTGAGTAAGATCCCATTCTGCAAACAGACCCAACAAATGATATTTTTATTTTGATTAGTTATATGTACTGCCATTGACATCTGACTGACAACATAGTTTAGAACTGCTCTGTTCATTATGCTTTCTGTTTGCGAGCTAATCAAAGTAGAATAGTATTATTTGTAGGAATCTGAACTTACCTGCTGGACTCGAACGTTCAGTCTCTAATACGGTTGCTGATTATTCATATCGGTATGTACATGTCGCTGACGTAGGCATCCATTGCGTGTCCTAGTAGACGGTGTGCAGTTCTGTAGCATATGAGTGATAGGGACACCACTAGTGAGGACGACCGGATCTTGCGATTGGCTAGACGTCCGATAGCCCACTTGGCCTTAGGACCAGAGGGCGACAAATATCTGTTCTGCCAGCTTAGGGAGAGGCAGCAGCAGCAGAGGAGAGCTAGAGCAGTAGAGGCTAGCAGGGAGCTTGTAAGCAAAGCCGCAGCTTCGGAAGCCATGGCCACTTTTGCACAACAGACTTCTCAGGCTGGTAGTTCAGGATCTGTAGGGTCAACAGTCGCGCAGACCCAGAGTCAGTCGGCTGGAGTTATGGCAAGCCAGCCAGTGGTGTTGTCACCCGAGGAGATCGCCATACAGCAGGCTGCCCTGCAAAAGGCACAACTACATAAGGCTTTAGGAGAGATTAAGGCAGAAAAAGAAAGAATGATTAGAAGAAGAGCCAGGTTGCAGCGGCGACAAGCGAGCATTAGTGAGTTAGAGGAGATGGACCCAGCAGAGATGGATGATCCGGTGAGGGCCCTAAGGTCGGTCTTGTTAGGAGTGGTAGAGATGCAAGACCAGCGGACGGCTATCGTACAGGACACAGCAGAGTCTGGCCGTCTTGGTCGGGCGAGCGCAGGCGGCACCATCACTGTCTGGGCCTGGTGCCTGGCCCGTTGTACATCCTCCTTCTGTTCCACCGTTGATTGGGGTATCCCCATATACCGCTCCAGTATCGGTTCAGCGTGTCTCCCTGGGTATGCCGCTAATAGGAGGGCTCTCAGCAGGTCCTAGTTTACAGGTTCCTGTACAGACAATGTTCACCCAACCTCCATCGCAGGTTGTTGTAAGCGTGCAGCCTGTACAGCCGTAGGGTACACAGCCCCTGCAGTCAGTGCAGCGGCCTGCACAGGGTCCACAGCCCGGAGTGATGAAGGGACCGAGACAAAGTCAGTGGGTACCAAAGACGGCCATCGTGGCTCCGAAACCCTTTACAGCGGATAAGAGGGGTGAAGACCTCGACACTTGGTTGAGGGCAGTGCCGGTCTATGTCAAGTGCAAACTTACCTTGCCGGACGAGGAAGTGCTTGTGGCTGCATCCTACCTAGAGGGTAGTGCAGCAAGATGGTTGAGTGGTTTAGTGCAGTTGCAGGGATACGGTCATGACTTCCGCGCTTGGGCAGCCCACCAGAAACTGGATGACTTTCTCAAGATGGTGGAAGATAGGTGGCACGATCCTCAGGGGTCCCAAAAGGCCACTGACGCGATCCTGGCACTGCAAACGAGGCAGTTCAAGTCAGGAAGAGAGGCCACTGACGCTGTAGAGCGTCTAATCTGTGTCCCCGGGGTGCGCTATGACCCCCAGGTCTTACTCACCTCCTACTTGAGATGCGTTCCCATGCCTCTCAGGAATCAGTTGGCAGGTGAGGCCAACATCAATATGCACAACTTTCCCTCGTTCAGTAAGAAGGACATAGACCTTGAGGCAAAGATATGGCATGGACATAATCCCACGACGGATGGTAGGAAGAAGACACTGCCTCTCAATTGGAAGGCGAAGGGTCGCATAATGTTTGTCGATAACGATGGTTCAACCATCGAGTTAGATGACAACTTCCAGGAGGGAGTAGGTTCAGAGGCTGGCAACGTAAAGGCTTCAGGGGGTGTAGTAGTCGCTGCCGTAGCACAGAAAGGTAAGGCGATGGGTAGACGTCGTGAAAGGTAAGGAGTCAAGTTGACCCCACTGCTCCTCCATGGGAGAAAGCGGGTCTCACTGAGGACGTGTGGAGAGATCGGTACACGCGGCAGGCTTGTATCCGTTGTGGCCAATATGGCCATAACCAATTCAAGTGCCGAAACAAGAAGGTGACCGAGAATCTCCTGCCTCCGATGGGGCAGGCGTTGGGATCCTCCACTCTCGTTGGTAGCAATGTGGAGCACGTTGCGCACTTGGACAAAGTCCTTAGTCTTCTGCGACAGCACAAGTTCAAGATCAACGGTGAGAAGTGAGAAGTACTTGGGTCATGAGATTTCCGCGGCGCGAAGGTGGCCAGCATTCGTGACTGGCTGCTATCGCAATTTCGTGAAGAACTATAGCATAGTTGCCGCCCCTTTGACTGACCTAACTCGCCTTGACACCCCGTGGGAGTGGACAGACAGATGCGAGGCTGCTTTCAGACATCTGAAGCATGCGTTGACGCATCATGAGGTCTTGAAACTTCCTGATTCTTACAAGCCATTTATAGCAACTACAAATGCTAGCCAATATGGCATAGGCGCCGTACTTGCACAGCAGGAGGGGAAAAAGTTGAGGCCGGTAGAGTACATGTCCAAAAAGATGCCCTCTCAAAAGTTGGCTAAGTCCACCTATGAGAAGGAGCTCTATGTGATCTACAAGGCGCTTACCCATTGGAGGCACTATCTCCTTGGGAGGTTCTTCTACGCCAGGACTGATCACCAGACCCTGAAGTGGATGAGAACCCAACCTGTGCTTTCGGACGCTCTCAAGCGTTGGATTGAAGTCAAAAAGCAGTATGACTTCGAGCCCCAGTCCATCAAGGGTGAGGTCAACAAGATTGCTGATGCGCTGTCGCGTAGACCTGACTTCTCAGGTGCGCTGATTACTGAGTTCGATCTTACGAACGATGTTACTCGTTCTTTGGTGGAAGCCTATCGCGAGGACCAGTTCATGTTTGAGATCATACGCAGACTTGAGGCGAAGGATGAAAAGACTTCTGTCGAGTTTGAGTTGGTCAACGGCTTGCTGTTCCTTGAGAAGGCAGGGAACAAACGATTGTGTGTCCCAAATAGAGTCTTTGCGTAGTTTATTTTTAGGTGAGTGTCATGCATGGCTACGATCCGGACCACCGGACAGGGATCCGGACCGTCCGTGGTCCGGATCTTGGTCCAGATGTGAGGGCCCCAGCCCAATGACCAAAATTTTTTTGGGTGCTCCAGGGCGTTTGTTCACGCCCTGGGCCGCCCCCAAAAAATAGTGCCTTATTTTTTACCACTCTCGCCGATGATCCAGACAAGCCCGTAAAGTCCACGAGGGGGTTTGTTTTCTCCATACTTTTTCGAAGGGTCATACAGCCTACTGAGTAGGACCCTACGTCAAGCAGAGGTACAACTCAACTTGTACTTTGTAAGCGTGGGGCCGTGGGCAGAGAATATATAGTCTGGATTCGAATTCAGGTCTGTGCGTCTCGGTTATGGGTCACTATTTCTCTGTTTTCTCGTTTTCTTTTCTTTTCTCGTTTTTCTTTTCTTCTCTCGTTTTTCTTTTCTTTTCTCGTTTTTCTTTTCTTAAGAATACGTGCAGTGGCCCTAAGGGCCTCTACTCACCAAATGCACAAAAGACAAAACGTATGGTGGCGTATTATTCCACGTTCTGCAGAAGATTCATTCTAGTTTGCACATTTTGTGAGTAGTGCAGCCAAGCCCTAAGAGTCACGTGCAGAGACCAACAGGGCCTAGGTACGAGAGCAACCCATAACTGCTGAAACACAGACCTGAACTCGAATCTTGAGTACATATTTGGCCAGCTCGTGCCCTGTTTCATATTCACCGCCTGTGTGGGGGGGACTGCGCTACATGGCTGCGACCCTTCAGATAGCTTGCATGGGCTGTCTGATCCGTGTTAAGGGGATCCGTTGCTCTCTCTCTCTCTCTCTCTCTCTCTCTCTCTCTCTCTCTCTCTCTCTCTCTCTCTCTCTCCCCTGCTTGGACACGCACCCCTTACAACAAAAAAAAAAAAGAAAGTGCATATGTGCCACATCACTAATTTGTGCATGGCGCAGCTAGGCCCTGTGTACACACACACCCCTTACACCACAGCTACGACGAGGAGGAGGGGGAGGAGCAGGAGGGAGAACTAGAGGAGGATGAGA